TGTCCACAGATGAAGATATAAGGTACATGGATCAATGCTATCCTTGGGATGACATACAAAAGGCCTTGCAACTTTTTACCACTGAATAAGAAATCCTTATTTCCAGCATTGGTGTTACGGGTTTAATATGATTCTGAAGAATCCTCCCTTAAAAGATTCTATGCTGCTAGCTGCAAAATCATGACCCAGTCTTTTGGGTTTAAACACATTTGACCCTTATCAAACTGGGTCAAGGTCATTCATTGAAACAGATTTGGTAGCCATTCATAAAAGTATGTTAGTTGCCCTGTAATATTTGGACTCAGGGCTTATTGGTTATTCAGAAGAAATTGTTTGTAGTTTCAAAATGTATGACTCCAGTGTGTCCTTGAGAGTGGATTAATGCCATTCCATGCAAAAAAAGCCAATTATCTCAGCATGCTTCAGTCCTAGAATTATCACTCTGGACCTTTTCGTAATTCAGCAGGAACTATTTGAAAATTTCCCGAACAATTCAAAAAATTTTACAATGGGGTCTTTTGTTTATTGAAAGGAAACTGTCTGAATATTTGAAATACAATCAACAACCATGACCTGTAGATTAACCTTTCTCCAAGCAATACTAACAGACTATTTTAACATGCAGAGCCTTTTTATTTCAATAATAAAATTTCATGGAAGGTCTTGATATAAATGACCCTTGTGACCATGAAAGTAGGTCAAGGTCATTCATAATACATTTAGGGAGAAGGCTAATATAGGTTTTAGCCTGTTGCTGAATACCCACTGAATCTATTTAACAATAAAATGTTTGTGAAATGATATCATTACATTGTAGCAAACAACAAAAATCTTTGTTTTACCATTGCTACTGGCAAAATATCATGACCCTGGACACTTTGACTGAGGCAAAGATTTTGAATTATTTGATCTTGAACTGTGAAAGTAGGTCAACTTCAAGGTTGAGGCATTCATTAGAAGACATCTTAAACCCCCTTCCTCTTTTTGCATTAATGATGAAGACTCTAGGTGGCTTGATTATTGAAAGCAATCATTGAAGGAAAACAATTAAATATTTCAGCATCAAACCACCTATTGACATCTGGTTCTGATTTCTGTTACACAAAGGTAGGTAAATGATAAGGCGATTGTCTTTAAAAGGATGGCAATTTTATCTCATGTCTGTACTTTGGTTTCAACAGATGAAAAAGTAAAGCATGTGTATGTAATAGCATATCACTCAATCTTACTAATTGTATGCTCCATATCTACAAACTGTGACGTGAGAATTAGGTATTAGGACCTGGGTTAGAATCTCATCTATATTAAAAATTTCCAAAACATTTACCGAGGCTGTGATGAAGATAAGGTTAAATGGCCATTAGGTATATATACTACCAGTGTTAAAGCAGTTATGTGGTATAAAGATATGTCAAAGTCACTGATCCCTGACTTGACATTACTCAGACATCAGGTCTCAGCTCCCAGCTATCAAAAGGTGTTATATCTTTGTTACACACAAATGCCATTCATTGATATAAACCGATGAATGAAAACTTACATACTATTCACCCAACTGAAGAATTAGTTATCAGCTATAATCGTTCTGAGAATCAATTTGTGAACAACTCTATCTGTTTTATTACTTATTAACATTCACACATTCAATGGAGCATAACTGCTATTGAAAAAAGTACATCTGAACTTTTAACATCAATTTATTTACAAATTTGGAGGTGTTACTCACCCTTTTTATTTAAAACAAAGTTTCTGCTGCTCCAATATATCACTGTCCTGACATCTAACAATTTTAGCTCACATAAGACTTAATTGCCACTTATAAGATAATTTACAACTGACGTAAAGACAGACCACACATATAAACCTTTTCCCACTTAAATTCTATAAAAAAGTACTGTGCTGACAGCCAAGAACTAAAAAACCATGCACCCAATATATGAGATATCAGAAATCAATTTTCACTTCTGATTCATGAATGTTTTGCTACTGTCCCCATTGGTCTGCAATATCCCTCAATCAATGGCTTTATTTCTATACCAAGGAATACAAATGTCATAAAACTTGTGTCTATTTCTAAAGCAATTTAATAAGTTATGTGCAATATTATTATATTACTATGGTACAAACAGGAATTCTTGAAAAGAAGTAAAACCATTTTAACCAACCAAAATCAAATATGGCCAGCATGACTCCTGAATCAGTCACAGAAGTAAACTATCTGTGATATGATCACTCTCATCCCCATCCTCTCTAAGCAGAATAAGTGACTCTTGCCTTAGGTATGCCCCATACCAGACAAAATTAAAATACCAACATATAACAACATTACAGAATATGAAGAACTTTACTGGAGGTTAAATTTACAATTGCTTAAATGACATCGGAAAATTTAGCCCTAACTGCCAATTTAGTAAGAAGTTATAATTTCCAGATATTTTGGGCAAAGTTTTCATTCCCTGTCATTCCCTTAAGCTATTTTTTAACGGTATGATGTAACTATATGGATGGCATATAGCCCTATAATATGATAAATCTATGTAAATGCTTTCATCCTGGGATGAAAATTCATTTAAAAAAAAGCAGGAAGTCTTGCAATATGACTTCCAAGTCCTTTTGTATCAGCAAAATTGCAAGTTTGCATTATATTGAAATACATGAAAATATTGAAATCAGCCAAAAAAGTTAAAAATATTTTCCATTCTGATCATGATTCAGCATACAATATACCTGATGTTCTTCAAGATAAATAATTGAAAAATGCAGTTTTAATTTTTCTTTTTTAATTAAAGATTATATAAAGCCTCTCCTTCAACTTCCTGTGCACAAAGTTACAGCTCACACAGTTAAAGATAAATCTGTGCTGCATCAAGTGATTGTATTAGATATTCCATAATACTTTCTCAAAAAATTTTCCAGATGCCTTGTATTATAATAGTTTAGGGTTTGATTCTCCATTTGGACTTCATAAAAGGTACTGGGTTACCTGGAAGGGGAGTATGTACTCCTGGTTAATGCTACCTGGAATACATTGTTAGGATAGTGAGATCTCTTTAGCTTGATCTGTTGAGTATATAAGCCAGAGGTCCTAGATTCCAATCTTAGCCAACAAGAATCATTAATGTTAGCTAATTATTGCTTGTGTTAAACTTGTTGTTAAATAAATAACAATTAATATATGATAACATCATAGTTTTGAAAATTTGAGTCTGTGTCTTGTAATATGTCCATCCTAAATTATTACTATTGATTTGTAATAATCAACCAATGACGTAGTGGATTCATGCTTTTCCTGCAGAACTCATCATCAAAATTTTGAGAACTACTTCAAGGTATATGTCTAAGGGGACTGATAGCAACATATGTCTCTCCTGAAAATTATAAAAAGCTATCTCAGTATTATGCATAAAGTCCAACCTCTAAATTTGATTAAGAAGTCAATTTACAACTCTATTCCTCCCACAAATGTACATGCTGCTTTGCTTGTGTGTAGCTGATTAATATATATCAGAATAATTTAACAAGTATATACATCCCTGTGTAACAAGTAGATATAATAATATCATAATCTCCCTCTTTGCTTTATGCAATATGATTTAAATACTGATCTTAATTTACCACCCCAGTATTTTCAGCTCATTAATGAACATAAAGTATTGGAGTGGTAAATTAAGATGCGTATTTTAATCAGTTTGTGCTTTATTTAGCTGTTGCTTTATTCAAAAAGGCTGAAGTATAAAACTGAAATTAAAAAAAATAAATGATGAATTGAATGCAACCAGGCTGACCAGTCGTTCACAATTTCTATATATAAAATGTTCATATTAATGAGATCTAATTGGTTTGTAGAACTATACATTGTAATCCGTCACGATAGGTTTTATCCACCACACTAGGAGTTGAACATAGAACCTCCTTAATCTAATCTGAGGCCTCGATCACATAAGGTATTGATTCTGGATAAGGATTTGCAGTTTCTTCATTTCAGGACTTTATGGTTTTGTAACAAGGTCATTAGCTTTCCTTGTTATTCAATCATTTAAACAGTTTGAAACGATACTAGACTGCTGAAAATGCCTCGAGACCCGATTGAAAGCTTTATGTTGATCTTTTGGTAAAATTGATACACTGTTGTTGTGTCACACCTATACAAACTACAAAGGCAAACTACAATTAAATACAAAGTGATACAATGTCTGTTGATGAGCGAACTTTTTCAGCCGGTTTTTCGATTAATTTTAGTGGAGGTTATCTCCCCTGCATTGTACCGCCAAGTTTCGTTAACCCAGTTGATCTCATATCACAACCTATGTCATATCCTAGAACACACTAACATTTCAAAGGAAAAGGAAAATGTTACATGAAAAAACAACTATAAGAACAAAACACTCAACCTGTTATATGTGAAGATGCAGATGAGCTCGTTGATTACAGTCAGTTGGCCTAGACAGTGGCTTCCGTACACAATCTCATTCTATATCCGGTGTTTTGCGCATGAATTATCGCATCTTTCCCAAAAGGTGTTCTCATAATAATATGCTGATCTCTGATTCCTTTTTATGTCTAAAGGAACTAACAGTTCTGTCGCAGGATAAGATATTTGTTTTAATATAGATACACTGTTCTTGTATAAAGTAAACTATCTTTTACATTAAATACAACGAAATACCGTAAAACGAAAAAGAAGAAATGAACACTTTTGAGATTACCAAATTATGTTGTGTATGCACCCCAGAGGTTACTTCCTGTACAGCGCCATCTATCTAAGAAATATAAAGCCGCACGTCAAACAAGAGGAAAGTGCCTGTCTTGGAATACACTGACGTTTGGAGGCTGATCTTGAAGAGTTTTTGCGTGTTTATCCTCAAAATGGAATATGGTTAAATTCTTTTGTGATATAAAAGGAATTATGAAGTTATGGATAGTCAGAATTCGAAAACGTTACGTATTTTGAAAAGGATGTTATAATATTTGGTGTCGTTTTATTAGATACAGCCGTGAAGATGCACGGTTATCGAAATATAATTCATCTATCAATATTTGGACTGATCTTCATAGAAATTACTCGCGGGGAGCATTACACGGATACATGGGCGGTGCACATCGAAGGAGGCGTTAAAGAAGCGAGAACTTTGGCCGAAAAACACAACTTCGTTTATTTGGGACAGGTAAGATAGATTCAGAAACAAAAACAAGATACCTCTTCGATTTCAGCTATGGTTGGTGGCATGCTCCATTGTCCTGGCTCTGGACCTAAATCAAGAAGACACCATGTCGATGTCAAACGTTACAGGGTCAGCGCACGCATACACAGCAACTGATGGTTCTGTATGTCATTTCGTATTAAAACGATCCCACTAATGTTAAATTTTTTAACACCGATCTCTGCCATAGAATTAGGTATTCTGCGATTAAAAGGCTGGCATATTTTGAAAGCGTTTTTATTTCGCCCTGGAGTTGACACAAATGTCATCTTCCAATTCAACTTAATCTTTGGTTAAATGATTGCTGATTTTCAACATGCGTAGAAAGCACAACATGTATTTTATTCAGTATTATTATTGCTTAGTTTAGTAGTACTTTTTTAAATGATCATCTAATTGGAAAATTACTAAATTATCAAAGTAGAGTAATAGAGATAATAGATTAATTGTTTTATTGTTATTGTCCTTCATTCAGACTAGGCCAGAATTTTTTTCATGAAATAGATATAATATCTTTTATCAGTGTATTTGGCCAGTTCAATCAAATAGAAAGAGATGTAATATTTCTTATCAGTTTATTTGGCTTTCAATTGAATAGTTGTTCAGGTTCCTAAGCTCACTGTTTTTTTTTTAAAATAGCAATTTAGAAATACAAATATCAGTAACAAATGATTGCTTAATTGAAAATTATAATAACAAATAATTATGGTTGTTAAAAAGTGTTTAGAGACATAGAAATACATGAGAAGCTAGAGTTATCAACAAATGACAAAGAGTAATATAAGGTGGCTGGTATGAAGGTGCTAAGATTTCACAATTTATGGATACTTGGCATGAAATCACCCCATTTGGACCACACAGTTGTACAAAGTTAGATATTGGTGATAACAAGATTTAGCAATTATACAAATCAGCCATGGCAGTTCAGAAAAGTTTCCTCTAGGGTGAAGAGGCGATGTCAACAATTATCAGCTGTAAGTTTCAAATTTCTGTTTCAATAACGCCTCTTAAAATATAACAATTTCCTCATATGATAAATGACCAAAATGCTCAAGTAGTACTGACAATGAGATAAACAAGATCTTTATAGGAGAATTCCATTCCTGTTCCAATTATTTTACTTTCAATCAATAGAAGATTAAACAATTGTTTATGAGGTAAGACCTTTTATTGAATATGCTTCTAGGATGTCGTTTTTTAAAAAGAATATAGGAAGGAATCTAGGATGTCATTGTTTTTTAAAAAGAATATAGGAAGGAAAAGTTTATTCAGTTGAAGAAAAAAATTATGACAAAGAAAAGCGAATATATTTTTGGAATATCAGTTTAGAAAATAAGAAAAATCTCTGACATAAAGCTGATCCATGCTTGCGATATATTAAAACAGTTCATTTTTAAAATTACAACAAGATAATTGAAAAAAATAAAATTTGTATTCTGTGAATTAGGTGCTTTTGGTTACATATTGGTAATCTCATTCATATAATTTTTTAAAATTGGTTATATATTGTGGAAAAGGGGTTTTAATTTTTGTAATTGTTTGACAGTAAAGCTTGTAGAATAAGTAACTTACCTTTCTCTTTAATATTTCCTTAAAACAAATTACTTTTGAAATGTGAAAAAAAAAGTTTTCTTAAGATTTAATTCTAAAATTGCATAAATTATTTTGATATTCAGCTTCACGTATTTAAAGAGTTAAATGTATATTAAGTTTACATTTATGAGACTTCATGTACAGCTACTGTAAGTATTAATGTGATCAATAATATACATGTACATGCACAAGGTACAATATAGGAAATCTTTAGTGCCACTCCTTTAACCAAATATTTTGAGACATGATATAGAACCACCCTTAGTCATGGTATATACATTATATAAACAGAGATTTTTTTAAAAAGGGTGTGGATCAATTACCTGGAAAACAGTTTTATTATACTATGAATACATATTTTCTAATTTTGTGTGTGTTGTTACTTGAGTTTCTTAGAAAAATGTTATTTCATATCCTGATAGTCATAACGTAGGATGAAACTAGTCATAGATATTATAAATAGGAACCAGGAACTACCTGCTGGAATGATTTCAGAAAACATGTTGTCTGTAGAATATGGAACAGTTGACTGCTTTTTTAAAAATACCTTTGTTTGATGATCTATTTAACAGGTGTGTTCTGTGATTACAATATCATATATACACATGTTTACTGATATTGTTGCTGTATATATATGTAACCATATAACAAATCCATAGGTACCTATGACTTACCTGTCTGCTATTCATAACTTCCATTTGTTTTGGGTGTTGATTAACTTCTTGCTACACATGTATACTCTGTTGAATAGATTATTTCTATGTGTTAATGTCTGCTAGTTCTAACTTATTTACCTGGATGCTGGCTCATACCTGTAACCTCTTCCGATCAGTATTTACTTGTAAAAAGACTATCAATATGGTAACCATGCTATACGATCATAAATCAAGGTTCTGGTTGTAATGGTCTTCCTGAGACAGGTGGTTGATCATTCTGACAGTTTGCCAATGTGTTCTGATTAGCAACTAAAATCTAATAAAACTGGGTATTTTTATCCAGTTAGTTGTCTTGAAAGTAAAGGACTGTTGTTATAGATGAACCATAGTACCTGAGATTGTAATACAAATAACTTACTTATACATATTGAAGTAAATGTACTGGTTTGGGCCTTTTGTACACAAGATTTTACACCTCACAACAAAAATGAAATTTCATGGTAATCAACAAAAAATACCGAAGTCCACAACTTTCTGCAATAGCCAAGATTCTTAGACTTAGAAAACAAGGATCTACCTTGGCAATATATATAAGGATCTATATTGATAGAATACACAAGGATCTACCTGGATAGAATAAACAAGGGTCTACCTGGATAGAATACACAAAAGTCTACCTGGAGAGAATACACAAGGGTCTGTCTACCTGGATAGAAAAAGTCCTACCTGTACAGAATACACACGGGTCTGTCTGCATAGAATACACAAGGGTCTGCCAGAATAGAATACACAAGGGTCTGTCTACCTGGATAGAATACACAAGGGTCTGTCAGGATAGAGTACACAAGGGTCTGCCGGGATGGAATACACAAGGATACACCTGGATAGAATACACAAGGGTCTGCCAGGATAGGATACACAAGGGTCTACCTGGATAGAATACACAAGGGTCTGCCAGGATGGAATACACAATGGTCTGCCTGGATGAAATACACAATGGTCTACCTGGATTGAATACACAAGGGTCTACCTGGATAGAATACACAAGGGTCTGCCAGGATAGATTACACAAGTGTCTACCTGGATAGAATACACAAGGGTCTACCTGGATAGAATACACAAGGGTCTACTGGGATAGAATACACAAGGGTCTACCTGGATAGAATACACAAGGATCTGCCGGGATAGAATACACAAGGACACACCTGGATAGAATACACAAGGGTCTGCCAGGATAGGATACACAAGGGTCTACCTGGATAGAATACACAAGGGTCTGCCAGGATGGAATACACAATGGTCTGCCTGGATGAAATACACAATGGTCTACCTGGATAGAATACACAAGGGTCTACCTGGATAGAATACACAAGGGTCTGCCGGGATAGATTACACAAGTGTCTACCTGGATAGAATACACAAGGGTCTACATGGATAGAATACACAAGGGTCTACTGGGATAGAATACACAAGGGTCTACCTTGATAGAATACACAAAAGTCTACCTGGATAGAATACACAAGGGTCTACCTGGATAGAGAAAGTCTTACCTGTACAGAATACACACGGGTCTGTTGGATAGAATACACAAGGATCTGCCGGGATAGAATACACAAGTGTCTACCTGGATAGAATACACAAGGGTCTACCTGGATAGAATACACAAGTGTCTACTGGGATAGAATACACAAGGGTCTACCTGGATAGAATACACAAGGATCTGCCAGGAAAGAATACACAAGGACACACCTGGATAGAATACACAAGGGTCTGCCACAAGGGTATACCTTGGATACACAAGGGTCTACCTGGATAGAATACACAAGGGTACACAAGGGTCTGCCGGAATAGAATACACAAGGATGCCAGGATAGAATACACAAGGGTCTGCCGGGATAGATTACACAAGTGTCTACCTGGATAGAATACACAAGGGTCTACCTGGATAGAATACACAAGGGTCTGCCGGGATAGATTACACAAGTGTCTACCTGGATAGAATACACAAGGGTCTACATGGATAGAATACACAAGGGTCTACTGGGATAGAATACACAAGGGTCTACCTTGATAGAATACACAAAAATCTACCTGGATAGAATACACAAGGGTCTACCTGGATAGAGAAAGTCTTACCTGTACAGAATACACACGGGTCTGTTGGATAGAATACACAAGGGTCTGCCGGAATAGAATACACAAGGATCTGCCGGGATAGAATACACAAGGACACACCTGGATAGAATACACAAGGGTCTGCCAGGATAGGATACACAAGGGTCTACCTGGATAGAATACACAAGGTTCTTCCAGGATGGAATACACAATGGTCTGCCTGGATGAAATACACAATGGTCTACCTGGATAGAATACACAAGGGTCTACCTGGATAGAATACACAAGGGTCTGCCGGGATAGATTACACAAGTGTCTACCTGGATAGAATACACAAGAGTCTACATGGATAGAATACACAAGGGTCTACTGGGATAGAATACACAAGGGTATACCTTGATAGAATACACAAGGGTCTACCTGGATAGAGAAAGTCTTACCTGTACAGAATAGACACAGGTCTGTTGGATAGAATACACAAGGGTCTGCCGGAATAGAATACACAAGGATCTGCCGGGATAGAATACACAAGGATCTACCTGGATAGAATACACAAGGGTCTGCAGGGATAGAATACACAAGGGTCTACCTGGATAGAAT